CATCTGTAGAAAACACAACACAGTTTTCATGAGATAAGCAACTAGCATGATGGTAAATGGTACTTAAATGCAAGAACATGATAAATTGACCAACATATATACCTTTAGTTTCTCATTTGCTGCAGCTAACTGAAGCTCCAATACCTGTATTTGCTCCCTCTGGGAAGAACATGTCTCCTGCAAAAATTAGAAAAAGATGTCAGTGTCTCCCAACCTATGAACTTGTCATGAAAAAAAGAAACAAAGCACCAACCTCCAGGGATTTTGTTTTTGTTGTCAAATTATCCAAAGAAGCCAAGGATTTTCCAGTAGACTCTTTGTATTTGACTATTTCAGCAGTTAAGGCCTGCACCTGCATCACTTGACGATCACGATCATCTCTTACTTGTTGTAACTCCCCACGGAGGCATTTAACTTCAGTCAGTAATGTCTCTTTCTGATTAACAGCATCATCCTGTGAAGCCTGGGACACAATAAGATTAAAGAAAGAGAATAAAAGAAAAAAAAAAAGCAAGGATTTGTAAGTTTTTCAGGCATACTTTAATAGTACATAATGCGAAGTATGGAACCCAGAATTGATTTATGAACTTTGTTTGATTACTTATGATGCAGCAACAACAGAGATTAATAATATTTAAAAATTTAAAATACTAGAACAGCATATGGAAGCAAATGTATTATGTATACCATGACATAAAAACTTACTCTGGACAAGGATAATTGTTCCTGCAATGAACTGCAATGACCCCTTAAAGTGCTAAGATTCTGTACTATAGTCAGTTTCTCTTTTTCCAACCGACTAAGTGACTCACGGGCTGTTTCGAGTTCATTGCTGAGCTTGGAACTGAACTGTTGAAGGCTAAGGACATATTCTTGCTGTCTGTTGTGTGCATTCTCTAGTGAGGCTGCCTGAAAGATTCAACAGAACTTTGAGAAGAGACAGCCATCAAGTGAGAAAACCAAGTGGGTTCACCAAATTATAATACATTGGCATAGTAAATTGAGAATGTCTAAGCATAAGACATGGAGATTACCCTCTCATTAACAGCTGTTATCTCTTGCTGTGCTTTTCCTAGCTCTTCTAACAAAGAAGCTTTACACTTTTCAGCAGCAATCCTGGCTTCATTTTCTCGTCTATAACGGTCAATTGCATCCTAATTATCAAATAAAAAGAAAAACATAATATTAAGCACAGCCAATAATTGGCGCAAAGAAAATATGCAGAAACATGAAGTAATGACCATAATTTGATACAAACAACATGAATTTTTAATAGTCTTACTAGCTTTTCTGCCTCTTCCGTGGACAGTTTCTCCATTAGAGAAGCATTATTTTTCCTTAAATCTGAGATAAGTGTAGTAAACTCTGCCTCCTTAGTCTTCATCTCCAACTCTGGAAAACAGAATTGAGCCACATCATAACTTACAAATGGCAAGACAGAACCATAACGATAAAAGTTTTTAAGATTCTACCAAAAGAGAAGAAACTTTCTTGAGTACCATCTTAATATTTTCTCTAAGACTTCTAGGGTTGGACCTCATAATGGAAATGAGTTACTCAACGCAATTCCAAAGACCAGATGCTAAAGCAACTCTGTCAGCAATCCTTGAAATAAATTTATGTAACTCAGTGGCATGGTTATATGCCTTATAAAACACTCACCTTTATGCACGAGCGTTTAACTTTAATTAGAAAAGGTAAAAACCCACACTTTATGGCAGAACAGAATAGAAGATAAGTACTTCATTTCCACTCCAAAGGCAGAAAAATTACCTCCCTCAGTGCACCTTTTCTCGGCAGAGTCTAGTTCATTGCGAAGTTTCTCCTTCTCAATGAGATGGTTCTCATCACCTTGCTGGAACCATCTGATACAGCGCTTGAGCCTTTCATTGAGTTCCGTTAAACTTTCAAGTTTCCTCTGCCAAATTAAAACAATAAAAAGGGGGAAGAAAATTAGGATCTATAATAACTAAAATTAAATAGGCTGTTTAACCACAGATTACAGAGCTACAAAGAGAAACCTTGAGATCAAACTTGCTTGCTTTTGGCTTTTCATTCAACAAAGCCTCAACTTTTTCTTTGGTAAACTCATTCCCACACTCCTCAGTACTACCCACATCAGCGGCAGCTTCTTGCTCATTGGTAACAGCAGCAAATGGTTGCCGTGGTCGACCGCCGACTGTAGGTCCCACCCTTTTCCCAGCCTCAACCTTCCGCCGCTTGTCTAATTGATTATCATAAGCCCCAGCATCCTTCTTCTATAAGCCATTAACCAATACAACAAACCAGAAATAAAAAAATGAAATTAATGATAAATACTAACCTAAAAACCCCCCAGAAGATAACTGAAAAAAAAAGAAAAAAAAAAAGAGCATAATAAGGTTTACAGCGGGGCGATTCGAAGGTGGCCTGTTCTGATTGCGCGAGGCCATCGCCAAAACTGAATAATCGAAGCAACAAAAAGACAAGACCGCAGAACAGAGGCTTAGTATCTAGGGTTCTTCTGAAGCACCACCCAGTAACCGCGTCAGGCTACAATTTCAGGAGTTCATCTGAGAGGACATGAACTTCGAGATCGAGCCCAAGTAAAGATTGGGGCTTCCACTGTTGTATCAATGAAATTTGGGGATGAATTAGATGGTTAGGGTTTGGAAAGGGGAAGGAGTGAGGATTGGGAATGGGAAGTTTGGGAGGAACCGACGCAGAGCGTATGGAAATTTGAAATCAGATCTGGCGGACTCCACCCAGGAAAAGCCATAACGTTAACTTGACTCTTGTGGGCCTATCCGGGTCGGGTTAATTAACCCGTCTTTAGGTCCAGTTAACAGATCAGCGCCCTAGCCCACGTTTCTGGCCCCTGCCCCCTCCTAAGTGGGCTACAACTACAACAGCGTATTTTCAGTGCTTTAGACATTTCAACTTCGATTTTTTTTTTTTCTTTTTTTCAATGAGTTGAATTTGAAAAATTAGAATTTAAACATAAAAATTTATCATCATTTTATATTAATTTTAATAAATTTGAGGCTTTAGATGAGCTCATATTCACTAACTAACATATTTTGAGGATAAGGTCAAGATTCAAACATTTAAAATATGTAGTGAATCTCATATCCACTAAAAATAATTTATTTACTTAATTTGAGAAAAAATATATAGATAAGGATATAAATATTTTTATTTTTTATTTGAATATGCAAAATTTTTTATTTTTATGTAAAATAATAAATTTTTTATTTTTTATTTAAAAATATTAACTTTATTTTTTTATTTAATAATATCAATTTTTCATTTTTTATTTAAGAATAAATTAGATGATGATGTTAATGTGATAAATAATTTTTTAATTATTTAATTAATTTTTAAATAAAAATATAAAATTAATATCAATAAATAAAAAATAAAAAATTATTATTTTATGTAAAAATTAATAAATTTTATTTTTTAAATAAAAAATAATAAAATTTTTACTCTTATTCTCTCGTTGCTTTTGAGGAAGAACCATCCTAATTCTATGAAATGTTTATTATGGTAATAAAAAGTGAAAGAATAGTTCGCTCGGTGCCTACAGGACCGCGGGCTTTGTAATAATTTTGATTTATTTATTTATTTATTTTAACATAGCTTTGTAATAATTCTATGAAATGTTGTGCAAAAGTTGCGTTTTTTCAAGAAAACAATTAATAGAGATTGTTTTTCATTTTTATTAAATATAATTTTTTTTGACATTAAGATGAGCATCAAACCCATATTTGTTAAGTTTGATATGAGAAATCATTTTTACAAAAAAGAAGTGGTTACCAGATTACAAAAATATTCTCTTTATTAAGTATTATTAGAGATAAGAAATTTTTAATATGATAGAACTATAACTTGTATTTCAATTATTATTAAAGTATTAAATACATTTAATAACTTATCTATTATACTAGGTGTGTTATTGGAGATTGTTTGTTCTGAAAAAGGTTGCCAACTTTTGAAACCCCAAAATGCATATATATATATATATATATATATATTTGCTAGAACCAAATATGCTAATCAAACGCAGGAAAATGCTTCCATTTAAGGGTTCAGGTGGGAAATTGGCCTTCTGACCTTTTAGTGAAATGAATTTTAGTTTCTAGAAGAAAGGCACTTAACAAAGATTTTCATGATTTTTGGATTACACTGCATAATGAAAATATAATTTAAATATTAAAATTATTAATGAATTAATTTTTAAAAATAATTTTATTAAAAATATTTTAATAATTTCAATACATCAAACTGTAACATGCGGTCCCATGAATAACATTTTTTGGAATTAAATATGTGTCAAAATCTTGGCGAGTCCACGTGTCGAAAGATTACCAAGTCACAATGAAACGTAATCCTACATGTCAAACAGCAGGATCAACGTTGCCATGTGTGGATCATTTACTGGTTGAGACCATATCCAACTTATCCAACTAGAAAATGGCAGATAAGGTGGGGTACCCAAAGCCAATCTACATCACATAATCATAGAACAAAAATCCCAAAACCACAAACACAGCAAAAATATAATCCATCACATCTCTACATTAATTCAGTTGAATTGGATTTTGAGGGCAATATGGCACAAGCAATGGCGTCCATGGCGGGCTTACGTGGCAACTCTCAGGCTGTCTTGGACTGCAGCCGCTTGAACATGGCTCCTGCCACCAACACCAGAGTGGCTGCATCCAGGTCTGGCTTCATTGTTAGAGCCCAACAGACGCCAGCAGAGTCAGAGACTAGCCGTAGAGCAGTGTTGGGACTGGTCGCCGCAGGCTTCGCTTGTGGATCATTTGTTCAGGCTGTGCTTGCTGATGCGAAATCCATCAAGGTCGGGCCGCCTCCTCCGCCCTCCGGTGGATTACGTAAGTCCTCTTTACTTTAATTTTGTAGATTGAATTGTAAAATTAAAATCATTAAAAGGTACTACTCTACATAATTTAGAAAATATGTTTTCGTCCAATAATTTATATCATACAGTCTGATTAAAATACATTTCTGACCATTAGATATAAATTGGATTATGATTTTTTTTTTTTTTGAGTAAATATTGGAATATGATTTGATTTGGTATATTGTGCAGCCGGAACTCTGAACTCCGATGAGCCAAGAGACCTGGACCTGCCATTGAAGAATAGGTTCTTCATCCAGCCGCTTCCTCCAGTTCAGGCTGCAGCGAGGGCAAAGGAGTCAGCCAAGGAAATTGTTGGTGTCAAGAGTTTGATAGACAAAAAGGCATGGCCGTTCGTCCAGAATGACCTCCGTCTCAGGGCAGAGTATCTCCGTTTTGACCTCAACACTGTCATTTCTGCTAAGCCAAAAGAGGAGAAGAAGAACCTAAAGGAACTCATTGGAAAACTCTTCCAAACCATAAGCAATGTGAGCTCAAAATCATCGCATTCTTAAAACAAAACAACAACTGAAAAAAAAAAAAAAAAAAAAAAAAAAAAAAAACTACACTTTTTAACTAAAAATATGTTAGCTGAGTCTATACTTACAAACTATGCACCACTTGCAGTATTAAGAAGTTAACTTCCAATGTATCAAAAGTCAAAAATGGAATTTGTGATTAATTTTGTGTTTGTTATTTGATTTTCTGCAGCTGGATCACGCAGCAAAGATCAAGAGCACCCCTGAAGCAGAGAAATACTATGCTGAGACTGTATCTGCTCTGAATGATGTTCTTGCTAAGCTTGGCTAAGAGAGAAATTCATGTATTTATGTTGCGATTTGTTGAGAAACTTGGTTTGGGTTTTTAATCTTAAGGGAAAATCAATAACATGTTATGTAATTTTATGAAGCAATTTCCTTCCTCAAAAGATTTTAGAATTTGCAAGAGGCTAATTGAGTTAGCACACCAAAAATAATTAAAACTTGATTTTAAGTTGAGTTTTAAAGCTTTAAATCTATACAACAAAATGGTAATTAAAGGATGGCACCATTGATCATATCTTTCTCTTCCTTGTTTGGCTGCTGAGAAACGGTTGGAAACTTGTCAATTATTTCTATTTTCACCAGATGATACTAATGATCAAAATGGGATGCTAATTCTCATCAATTCGGGAAATTAATCAACATTTAAACGACAATTTAATATATTGTAAAAATAAACCAACAATTAATCAACATTTAAAGAGAATATATAATTTTATTATTAATAAAAAAATGCAGAAATATAAACCATTAACAAGCTGTGAAACATCACCAAAAATCAAACTAAAACTAAAACCCTAACTAGAAAAGTATCAATTACCATCTCCATTTGCACGACCTAATATCTTAAATCTAAAACCATCTTTGTTAACATCCCAAAACATCCCTACTTCATCCCCGGGAACAAGATTCCGGTGACGCATTAAATCAAGGCATCTTAATGTATAGCTGTTCTGAGGCCCTCGCTCCACATATATATGATACCTATTTTCTGCCTCTGTGTTATCATACAAAACACACGATCTCTCGCCAGCCAGGATAGAATTAGCCTTGTATAATGTACAAGGCCTAAGTAGATCCAGCATTTCTTGTTCCGACAAGCTGATCTTCCCAATGAAGACATCACCTCCGGTAATGGTTTTTCTGATCCGAAGCCAAGGATTGTTAGGATCTACTACAGGGATTGATCGATGGTCCAAGTCTCGTATTTCAACTAGGGTGCGAGTCACCAGATGTGGTACGTTTCGTGCCGCTGCTGCATCTTCTTCTGCCTTGGTGGGTAAGAAATTGTAGTAGAAAGTTTTTTTCATGGTGACACAAAATGATGATGATGATGATGATGATGTCTTTTAATGAGAAGAAGTTTAGAACACTTGGAATTTATAAAGCTTGGCTGTCTTGATTTCCATTTTATTTTGGACAAAATAAAAAACTTAACAAAAATGATGAGTTTTGTGTCCTGTATGTTAAGATTTGAACTAATATTGGGAAATTCCCAAATAATCTGTCAATGATTTAAGCTTGCTTTTAAAATCTCAACATTTCAAAATAAATGACTTATTTTGCATTCATGAGTTAATTATTGTTTAACAACCTTATTGTTGTTAATTTTTTATTTTGAAAGTTATAATATCATATAATATTATAAATTTATAATATAATTTGTAATTATATAAATTAACTCTTTTCATTTTTTGGTTTCCCGCCCGGTATCCGGGGCTTCGCCCTGACTACTCCGGATTCGACCAGCTGTGGCGCATCAGAATGGTGGGTGGGTCTCCCAACGAAGGATGCTGCGTACACAAGGTTTCGAACTCGAGACCTTAAGTAAGTTGGAACAAACCGTTTACCACTTAATCTAACCCCTAATTGGTATTAACTCTTTTCATTCATAGTTTATTGTGATATTATATGCATCCCATCATTTAATAACACATCATATTTATTTAATACCATGTTATAATTATATATTTACAATTTTATGTAACTTATAACTACAGTATTGCCATTTTTTGTTTTTATTTCAAAATTGCATGTTACTATTAAATTTTAATTAGGGTTATTAGCTATAAAAATCTAAACGTAACAAGTTATTCATTTCTAGTTTCAATTTTAGTTTTTAATTCTCAATTTTTATTATTTAAACTTTAGCAACAAAAATAGAAAACTTACAATGAGAACCTTGTTTTTTAATACAAAGAAAAAAAAAATACTATTGATTCAACTTTTTCCACTTTAATTGTTTTATGTGGAAAATCACCTTCGGATTTTTTTTCTAATTTGGCATACTGAGTTAAATGTTCAATTCATTAAAAAAAATATTTTTTAATTTAAAAGATAAAATATACTAAAATTTAATTTAATATATTTTAAGTTAATTTGCTCATTTTTTTTTAACAAACTAATTCAAAAAAGAGAAAAGCTAACAAGTGGGCTGAATAGGTTACTTGCTTTCCCCTTGGTTTTGGGCCTCAACATCATGGTCTATTTAGAGAAGTCCAAGTTCTCAAGCCCAACGACAATTATGTTTTTGCCAGTAAGTATCTTCAATAAACAGAACAAAGCCCTAAGTGGTGCTGTCCCCCACTCTGCTTTCGAGTCGTCGCCAAATCTTCGTTTTCTCCTTCGCATCATCTATGGCACCGAAACGCCCAGATCCCAAAGACGAGCCGCCGGCTGCTTCCTCATCGGAGGAGGAAGAGACCACCTCTGGGGCAGAAGAAGAAGAGGAGACATCAGAGGAAGAGGAAGAAACTCAACCCACCCTGACACAAAAATCCCCTCCCGTCAAAAGGCCGGAAATTGCTTCCCCTCGCTCCGCCTCCACAACAGTCACCAATGCCGGGAACCAGTCATCGGAATCTGATGAGTCCGAGTCCGATGAGTCTGGGTCCGAAACTGATTCTGATTCCGTGATCCCCCCAAGTGTCAAGCCTATTGCAACAAAGCCCATGGAGGAGAGCACTAAGAGCAAGCAACCTGCTGTGAAACCCGCTGCTTCTGCTGCCAAATCATCGGCAAAGCGTCCCGCTGAACCAAAACAACCAGCTCAGAAAGAGACAAAGCGGGCCAAGAAGGACTCTGAGAATGGCGAAGAGGAGGAGAAGACAGGTGACGATGTAAAGAAGCAACTTTTCCAGCGCATTTGGAGCGAGAAGGATGAAATTGCCATCCTGAAAGGTATGATTGAATACTCTGCTAAAAAGGGTGCAGACCCTCTTTCTGATATGAGTGCATTTCATGAGTTCATCAAAGACTCGCTTCAACTTGATTGCGCAAAAGGGAAGTTATCAGATAAAATCAGAAGGCTGAAGAAGAAATACATGGGCTATGTAAAGAGGGGGAAAGAGGATGGATTTACTAAGCCACATGAACAGGAATCCTTTAAGTTGTCAAAGAAGATATGGGGTGATGAAGGGAAGAAAATGGGTGATGAAGTGAAGAAAATAGTGAAAGCTGAAACTCCAGTGAAATCCAAGTCCAATGTTAAACCGAAGAAAAATCAGAGTTTGGCTGCACCTAAAGTGGAAGTAGTTTCATCTCCGGTTGCAAGTAAGGATAAGGAAAGCAAGATTGATGATATTTTACCAGATAAGAGGCTTGGAGTGGGTAGCATAGAAGAGGAAGTGTTATCTCATGGGTTGGATGTGATTGAGGGTGAGAAGAAAGCGGCTTTGAAGGAGAGGTGGAGGAAGTTGCGTATAGCGGAACTGGAACTCTTTTTGCAGAGAAGCCAGTTGGTTGCTGATCAAGCTAAGTTGATGTTGGAGCATTACAAGTCTGCCAACAAGTAGAGTTGTTTCTTGGGGAATTAGAAGGTTATGCGGTGTATGTGTTGTTTGTTTCTTAGAGAATTGATTTTGGAATTCTGGATATGCTAGCATAGAAGTTACTGGGACTCTGTATTTTGAATCTGAACTTATCAATTTTGTGTATGGAACACAATCTTTATCTTGGTTATTGTGTTGTAGTGCTCTGTCATGTATCATCTGCTTTTGTTGAAGTACCATATTTCAGTTTTCAGATATTGAAATGAGATCAAGTTTATTCTCTTTTTTCTTTTCCTTTTTATGGTTCGTTTGGCAGAGGTGGCCCTCCTAATTCCTAAAGGGCGGTCTGATTTCTTTCTTAAGCTTTATGAACTTGCGGGTAGTGCTACAGTAAAGATCCAAAGCTAGGTACTGCAAAGGTACATGACTAGCATACTTTGTTGCAAGATCACCCAAGAAAGGTTTTGTTTCTTTCACAGTTACAGTACATCAAGACCACAAATATCATACCAACCA